AGAACTGTGGGGCTAGAGGCTAGAATAGATCTGGATTTGAGGTCATATGTGTTAGGTGGCGACAGAGGAGGTTTGGTAGAGAACATGATGAATAAGAGACAAGGTGATTAAGAAGCTACGGTAATGCTGGATCGCCCCCCTCCTGAACCGCTGCAATGGGGTGCAAGAGAATCTAAGGTTTGAAAGCATCTTTTTAATTTTACTGTTTGCTTGCGATTTATTTTTCATGATCAGGCTGCTTATTTTTCTGTTGATTACTTTTATTATTGTAAGACTCTTGCATTAGGATTGAGTGATGGAAGGCCTGCTTTAGTCGTCGTTGGGTCATTTATGCCCATTATAGGATCAGCGAGTTATATTGCTTTTTTGAATGTGATTGACTCTAAATCTGGTTCGAGAGCTGACGGTTGTATGTGATCCTTTTGTCGTTTAACTCCCTATCTAAATGCTAATGTTATGATATCAATTTAAGCTCCTTTCTTCCAAAAAATCGTGACTTATAATCATCTGAATGAATAAATCCAAACTCGATTCCAAACAATTATATACCCCCATCCTTTATAGTTTTCTCATCTTTTCTTTTGAATGATTCCAAACTTTGTGATAAACTCATAAACCATAGTCTATGCATGATAATCTATTACAGTACTTAATATTTCTACTCCTCTGCACAAATCTGCACAAATCTCACGAAGAATGTGTAATACTCCATCCGTCCCGAAATACATGTCCTGCTTTCCTTTTCGTTCTGTCCCAAAATAAATTTATTACTTTTTTAACTTCCTTATTTGATAAACAAATCTATATCAAATAGTGTCAAACAATACAAAACAATGCAAAACAGTGTCGCTACAGTGCGAAACAGTGTCGCAACAATGTCAAACAATGTGCTATGTGCAATCAAATTCATTTTCTTAATGTGTATGAAAATCAAAGTAGGATGTTTATTTGGGAACGGAGTAGATATCATTTGCCTCTCTTTGATAAAGAATAAAATGTACATTAAATAAATAATGCAGAACTCTGCGGTAAGCAAGAGTGTCCATTACGATGCCGAAATTCCTTTAAGGACGAAGCCAAATGCGCACTGTATTAAATGCGTGATAGTGCAAAGTGGGGACCCAAGGGGGTTTGGAGCATCGAAGATGGCGGGTCGAAATGTGCGTGGTCGGCTGGTGGTGCCGGGTACAAGACCGGCCTCACACGCAGGAAGGGTGAGGATCGAGCCGTGGCTCCACGTGGCCTGATAAGATGGGCGTCGTACGTGGACTGATGTGAATGATAATGGACCGGTGGGTCCGAGGAATGGGTTTGTCTTGTGGGAGCACAGTATATGTATCAGCAGCATGTAATGTACGTACTGCTATCCAACAAAGAGCCTATGTTGGGAAAATTTGACAAAGACATGTAACTATTTCATGTTTTTATTACTAACAAAAAATTATTCAAAAATGATGTAGGTACACATAGTTTGTGCTCATATAGTCATATTGTGCTCATATTGTGTACCGCCTTCCTAATTATGTTTGGTAAACAAACAATTAGAAATGTTGGTAACAAAGTAATTCGCTAAAAAGCTGTTTGGTAAACAAACAATTAGATATGTTGTACACAATATGTTTAGAAATTATGTATACACCAAACATAACTGAAAATTATTTGTAGATACCACTATACATATCCATGAATATGCTATTTTTTGTTTATGAAAAGCCTATCTATGGACAAAATACTCTGATCGATGATGGTGAACATGTTTTGTTTGTGAACGGGTTATTCACAGATAAAAAATAACATATTTAATGACATATGTACAAATGCGTATAAAAGTGTGTACGGCAAGCAACATTGTTTTACTAACCTTTGTTAGTAATATACGCTTCGTGAATGATACAATTATATGTATGTGCGTGTATAATACGATACCATTATATAAATACGGTTAAATATAGACATTTCATATGTTCGTGAATTGGTTAAACATACGAACGTGTATTAAACGTTTCACAATTAAAAAATATGACATATTATACATGTCTTATATACTAATTTAATGATAGGAATAAATAGTTATTTGACATATGCACCACATTCTTCACTCGTTTAAAATGTACGGAATGGTTTTTCCAGATATACGAATTTGAATTCATATGTACAATAAGTAATAAAAATGAGATTGCCCATTTGAGTAGAAGTAGAGAGATATTACTAGAGAATAGTTGATATTACTGTGACTGTGAGTTTGGTGAGCCGCCACAATATTTTTCTCTTGGAGTCTTGGTATGGGTGGAGAAAAGAGTAATACAATAGTAGTACAATCGTAATATCGAAACGGATTACGCCTTTAAGAAGCTAACCTATTAAATCTAATGACTATTAAACAATTAACGAATGTATAAGGCATAAAAAAAATAAGCAATATAAATAGTATTGAGCTGCTAGACATTTCGCTTCAAGTGTACCATTCCATTACGCTTCCGTTTAATGGTGTTTTTTTTTTTTAATAAAATACACATCAATACGTATGGTACGTGTCTTATACATTTTATCCTTAAAGTACGTGAATTTTTCAGAATTTTCTGAAAAATTCATAAACGGGATTATTATACATGAATTATACGTTTGAGTGTAATTTTTTTTATCATAAAAGAGAAGCCGTTATATTAAAATCGAGAACACATACAAGACAACCTTCAGATAGAATTTACAGATCCAATCGGGAATCCTAGATCCATACATTTGAGTGTATTATCCGCGATTATACGTGAATAAACTAACAGAGTTACTAACTCCCATTCTTTTTTTACCCCTGCTAGATCCCAACTTTGTTGGGTTCATTCTCAAAAATATAAAAAAAAAACTTTGCTGGATTAATTCTGAAGTCCCAAGAACTCATTTGGAACTCCTAACTCTTAAGAGATACTCCCTCGATAGGAAAACAACCGTCTCTTTTTTCTTTCCGAGTTTTATGGAATTAATTATCCATTCCCCTTTTGGAAAAGAAACTTATCTGAAGAATAACTACAATACACTTTAGTAAAGTATATAGTACTTTACTGCTATAACAACAAAAATCTCTTACTTTTTGTACAGTTTACAATAATACTTATCTTAAATTACGTGAAAAGACAAATGTGACAATTATTTTACTATGAAAGAAGTATAAATCTGATCCATTCAAACAATTTGTTACGGTACGTTTCCACCGCCATTATACATAAGCTCGCACATGAAATCGCTCTTTAGATTATCCTCACGTTCCCAAAACACAACTTTCGGGAGAACCGCCACTTATTGGTCAAAACCACCGGATTTCTAGTAAGGAACTAACTCTCACACTACCGCTTGAGACGAGATAAAACAATGATACATGATCACTACAACTATCTATGGGCTAGACTCAAGAGGATAATCAGTTGAGAAAATGCTCTCAAATTCAGCTTCTTGTTGACTTCAATTAAGACCTCCTACATACATGAGAAGGATGTTAAGTGTGAGGTTTAATCCACTTGAATTACTTCCACTTGTATACTAAACTCTTTCTTAAACTGAATTTTGTATGGATGAGGTTGATTAACCAGTTGAGTACTACTGGATATGTTAATAAAATAGTGCCCGTACAGAAATTATCTCAACTAAAAAAAGTGGCATGTCATCGAGTCATTGGAGTGTCAATTACTCCGTACGATTTAATCTCAAATCATTTATCAAAGAAGTGAACCAATGTTTGTTGGCACAATGAGTTATTAAAGTCTTAACCCGAGACTTCATATTCAGAGGGTGCGCTTGTGTATTCGTTTCCCTTTGGGGTGTTTGGTTATTGGTCTATGAGCCATTTTTTTTTGGCTGTTTTGACCATTAGTTGGCTTTTTGACCATTTCAAATAGCTATTTAGATGTTTGGTTATTAAGCTTTTCCTATTGACTTTTTATATCAATCAGCCAAAAATAAAAAAGCTAAGTTTAGTAGCGTTTTGCACTTAGCCGTTTCACTTTGTTCTCCAAAAATACATATTTAGCCTTATCCTTTAAATGACAGTTTTCTGATGCATATAAATGATACTCCGTAGCTCCCATCTTCAACTTGGGCGCTGGCAACTTCTAATTTTTAACGAAAGGAGAATTCAATTCCATATCTAAAAGTCTGAAGACCCCCGTTAGTGACAACATTAACAAAATTTAACAATGAATATTATTCATTTTTAATTTATTACTACGGGTATTACTTTTTTTTAACTTTAATGAATACTAATAGTTTAGGATAATATATTAAAATCATATTTTTACACAACTTTTGTTGTATATTATTACTTATAATTCCAATATTAATCAAAGTATCATCATATCGTACTACTTTTAATTACTTGCATGCGTTGGAATCATGAAATTTGAAAGTCAAATACCGAGTAGTTTATTGCACACCTTAGTTAGGTAGTTTTGGATATAAATTTCAAAATAGGACTATCATGTTTTTATTTTTCAAATAGGAGTAATTTTGTCAAATTTGGCATTATTGGGCATACATTACTCCTGTTTAGGGAATAAAAACATGGAAGTTTCATTTTGGAATTTCAAAACGTTTTTACTTTTATTCAGATTAATTTCTACTATTTTGTTCTCACAACATAAATATATCACAATTATGACGAACGTACGTTGTCACAAACATGGGCAGTTTTACTAATGAAACAAATCCCACTAATCCCATTAGCCCAATAAAAAAGTACGTAGACCATGAGTCGTGCCCCCAATAAGAATGTAACTTTGTTCACAATAGCCTAATAGAAATACTCTGTACCAGAGAATTGCTAAATGGATTTGGAAGTGTTTGAAATTTTGAATTTAATCACTCACATCAATTTTGTTTCATTTATCAAATATCAACAAAATGTAAAGGATAAACATTACGTAGTAGTAAATAGCAATGGCTAGACAGTTAAATATGGATTGGATTTAACTGTACACAGTTAAATCCAACCAATCCATATTTTGAAGTCTAATTGTCATACATATTTGCTTCAAATGAAAAGGGGTCTTTCTAGAACAAACGCAGTGTTCAAAATATGAATGCGTTAGATCAACTCAACATTGAAAAAAAGTGGTGACAAAGCTGTAAACATTTGAAAGTTTAATGTGCATCGCAACGTTTAATTCTTGGGTGTCTCGTGTGTGTATAATAAGTTCCAAACCAAACAAGACTTAAACAAATCAGACCAGACCCGACCGACTTAAATAGACAAAATCAGACCAGATCAGTAAATTACAGACTTACAGTCTAACTGTCTAAGTAAAAACATCCTAAATGTGCATTCACGCATGCTTAACACTTTGTATCACAATCTTAAAATTATAATCCGTAGAATTTATTTATATATATAGATGCATTTTTAAATTTTACACATGTATTTTTAAGTTACACAAAAGCACAGATTCGTTCTTCATAATTGAGATAACGCCACCGTGTGTGAGAATTAGTATGATTTTTTACTATATGTAACCCATAAGTTAATCAACTTACAATGGTTGGGGTTGTTGGATGTTAACAGGCCGTTTGACAACACTGTTTTTCGGTTTATCAGCCAACTTTTTCATCAAACACATAACTTTTGCTTTCATGCGCTGAATTGTGTAATAAGCAGAAAAAGTAAGGTCATAGTTACTTTTCTGTCTGTATTGGCTGAAGTTACTGTAGATGGTAATTTTAGCTATTTTTACCTACAGAGTATAATTTTTTCTTCATTTTATTAATAAAATATATTTTAAAAATAATTTTTTCTTAAATCAACAGAATCAGTCAATGCAGCCACTTCAGCCAGAACTTCATATATTTAAGCAGAATCAGCCAAAATAGCCGATTTACGTGCTAGCAAAAGGTATCAAAGGTATCTAGTGATTCACATTCAGTTTGTGATTTTGTGCTGCTTAATTGTGCATTTGCAATGCGGCATCTAATAACCAACGATTTGTGTTGGATTATTTCGGCAAAACTTGTGGTATATGATGTTCAGCTCGTTCTTCATTTAGATATGCTATTGTTACAATGATTTAACCTCTGAATTTTGTACATAACCTATGTGGCACCGATACTTCACCCCGATGCCGTATCCGCGTATCCGATACGTATCCGTATCCGATACTCACCGATACACGTCATGTACGTATTGGGTCCGTATCCGTAATTTTATAAAAGTATCCGGCTTAATTTTAAAAATAACGATACTTCCGATACCCGTATCCGTGAACCGATACATGTATCTCACCCTATAACCCTTCATTTGATACATGCCATGACAAAAATTTAGATGTGGAACATTGATAAAGATGGTTTCGGGAGTATGGAAAATAATGGAATACTATAATTTGTCATTTCACCGCTTGATGAACTTTAATTGAAACAAGGCTTAAATGTAAATGCAAATAGAGAACAAAAAAATGTTATTTGAATTTAAATCAAAATATCAGCACTTTTGTTTTTTAGCCTAATCTTTGAAATTTTAATATAATGGTTAATTTTTTGTACTATTATTATTTTATTTATGAACCCCTGAATTATATATATATATATATTTGCAAATTATATCCTATATTTTTATTATTTATAAATATACCCCGTACCCGTATCCTATAATTTTTTAAATTGCCGTGTCGTGATACCCGTATTCGCGTATCCACGTATTGGCGTATCCATATCCGTGCAACGTAGCATGTAACATCACGTAAAACTTCCTTTGTAGAATTAAAATATCCAGCAGCCAAACCAATATTTCTTCCATTGCCTGCTCTTCTTTATGAACCTCAACCTACTCTCACTTTGTGCCATTTTCACCGGACTTTCATAGAAATCGGACGTTAATCTGTTCACCATGGCAAAAAGAGCAAATGGAAGAAGAAGAAATAAAACTTTTAGACACAAAACAGAGAAGAACAGATCAAAAAATTAAAGTACGTCAAGTAATGAGGAAGAAAAAACTACTTGTCCAAGAAAATTGTACACATTTTATATACTTTCAATTCAAGTTGCCTTTATACATGGGCAATTAGGCGTGTTTACACAAAATGTGTACAAATTTCGTGTACAAGTATGAAGTAGCACGGCTGAATGAGGAATTGACGACAGATGGAATACTTGCATAGGAAAGACGAAGGATTGGGCGCTTGCAGCGCTTGAGCGAAAAGAAGAGCAGTCGTGGTTCGATGAGACCGTGAGTGGTCCATGGAGCGGACTATCTGCGGATGGAAATGGTTCATCTTCTGCACTATGCATACCAAATAGTGCTCCCAGGCTACTCTTTTGCACCTCACTTGTTTCTGTTTCCTCCTTTTGCAGTGTCTCGGTTTGACCCACTAAACCGTGATCGTGTATCACGGTTTGAACGTCACCGGAATCATTTATCTTAGTGTCGACGCTCTTGTTTTCATCGACAAAGCGCTACAACATCAGAAACCCGTGAAATCTTTTACTCCGCATGTTAGTTTGTATTTTTATATTTGATCGGTAATTCGGTATGATATGCATTAACTTGTACCTGATTAGAATGAAGGTTGCCGATAACAATGTCATGTGAGCCAGAGATGTTGGCATCATGAATCATTCTTTCCTTGTCTGTCTCAAAGTTTAGTAGACAGAATATGATGTCATGGTCCAGCTCACAATTGTCAACAGAACATTTTCTATGAGAATGCTCTTCTTCTTCACCTCCAATAATAATGGAACTTCCCTGACCTTCTTCTCCCATAATAATGGAACTTCCCTCACATAAGTGATAGTTGCACTTGTCTTGGAAACTAACAGCTACTTCTGGGATTTCAACCTCCGTCATATGTGTCTTCTATAACGCTTAAAGTTACAATCTGTACAGTTTAATCGTTTTATGTCAACCTCCAATTAATCATTTATAAGCAACTTCTAATTTCGCCTTGTCAACTTTATGTCAACGTTTTTACAAAACAAGTAAAAAATGGTTTCACTTCCTAAATTGTGTCATAATCATAATAAATAGGGTCGTTGTTGGTGTACACAAAATGTTTAAACAAATTATTATACATTGTCTGTGTACACAGACATTTTGGCATAAAATATTGTAGTTTTTCAAATGAACTGCATGTGTAGTCAATCAACTAGGGGGTTTTGTGTATACTTTGTGTACTAGTTGTGTAACCAAGAATTTTTCTAATAAATATGATAGAAGTATTTTTCTCATTGAATTGGATGAATGCTTATTTTAGCTATTTTCATATAGATATTTTTTAATTTTATTAACAAAATATATTTTCATAATTCAATAAATTGGGCCAATTAAACCACGTCAGTTTGAAACTTGTGAGTTTCAAGAGGTCTATCGGATACAATCAAATTAAATTTTAATGTTACCAAATACGATAGTATGTGTTAAGAGAGAATTCCCAAAATAGGATTAAAGCATGTGGAGTAAAACTTTATCCTCAATTTTTCTGGCTACAAACTAGCAAATTATACACTCAATGTATACATACCAATAGATGTATACATTTTTTTTTGAACTAAATAGATCTGATCTATACTTAATTATAGGTTTATATGGACATCAAATTCTGCGCATTATTTTAAAGCCTTGAAAACAAATCAATAGAAGATGGGAATAAAATTCAAGTTGAGGAATCACACATACAGATTTAGATGATGATGATTGATTGCAGACGAGCTCTTTTTAGAATACGAGAATGCTGCTTCAGCGGAAGACCCGTCCGGCCTCCGTCCCAATGTACTGCCTAAAATATAATTGGAGATCAGTGTAATAAAAACCCTGTAAATTATTGTTTGGATGAGAAACTTCATTTTATGGCAAGGAATAAAGTTAAATAAAGCAAATTCTTGATTTGCTGTTAGGCCAATTTTGTAATACGTAAGCTTAGGTGCATGTGCATATACATAATTTGGTTCAAATAAGAATATAACTTAGAATATTTTTAATTGGATTATAATTTTGTGGTTTGCTCCGTTTTAATCTGGTTTAGTTTAAACTGACCTGGTCTAGTCCAATAAATGTCGGTTCTATGTGAATTTATAAATGTAAAAGTCTGATCTGGTCAGATCTAAATTCGGAACTAGCTAATCTAGTCTGGGCCTGAAATCAGCCCAATTTAAAAAATGAATATGTACACTTTGAAATTAAATGTATATTACCGTGATAAAAAATGCAGTGATATTTTTGTAAATAAAATGAACTTTTTATGCTATTACAAAATGTGCATTATCTTAACAAGAAACGTGCAACTTGCTCCATCAGCCTCAATATGCACCGTTTTGCATGATTCTCATTTATCACGAGACGAACCTTTCTCGTCGGAACTGGAATCAACATATGTACACACATGTATTATGTATAATACTACATATATATATATATATATATGAATTATTATATGTGTGTGTGTGAACATTGATATATATTAATATAGTATATTCATATATATTTTATACTCCATATATGAGAATAATTTCAGTGCATTGAATTTGAATCTAAAGACTTAAAAAGTACTATCTTCATTCCATATTCATTTGCATAGTTAACTTTGATTTGGGCTATGTTTTGGCACAACAAGCTGGAATTGAAGATTAATGTCTGAATTAGTGGCTATTGTCTGAATGAAATACTATTGTCTGGAACTGAACTTTAAAGTGCTGAATCTGAATCGCTAGCTGAATGAAGTAGACCTGTTTGGCAAAAAGAGCTGAAAATGTGCTAGGATAATATGAAATTACATTAAAGGGCATATGATTTATTAATAGATTAAAATATTTATTATAGTGATTATTATATTCCACCCTTTTAATATATGTGTGCGTGTTCAAAGCAAATGGGCAGAGAAGGATTGCTGGTCTTCATAAGATTACTTCCATTACATCCACCCTTAGAGGAGGGCCTCTTCGATAAGCAAAGGGTATTTTCTTTGATTTGTTTGAGAGCAATTACTGTTGGGAGTTGGGACAACTACAGGCTATAGCACTCAAGAAAATTAGAGGTTAACCAATCGAGTCTAACAGCTCATCATCTTCATCGTAACCTTAAAAATTAAACACTCCGAAATGTTTAGTTACAGGAAGAAGAACACACTAGGGACGAGTGAATTTATATCGTACCTTACAACAACGAATCAGATGAAAAATATCTAAAAGGCAGAAAAGGTGATTACAATAGGGAAGGAAATTGTTGATGATGGCCCTCTTTGCCGCCAAAGAATCTCGGATATACGCGCGGCCGGCACGGGGTACTTCGGGGATGGGAAGATATTATACAGTCGGCTTAATATATAGAAACGCTAGACTTGCAAATGTTTTGATTCAGTTTTTACACTTTCAGCCTCATTTAGACTTGCCTCCAAATAGGGCTACTTCAATAACCATTAGCTGAAATTAACGAATTTCAGCACATAATTGGATGAAATGCATTGCCAAACATAGCCATAGCCTTGGTCAAACCGTTTCATTTTATTCACAAAATTAAGATATCAATTTTTAATTATATTCTAATTTTGATTTTGATGTAGTTTTTGAATACGTAAATTTTAATTATTAAAATTGATTTAATTATCAATAGAGAGGATTTAACTTTATCTTCGGTTAACCAAAAAATGTTGATTTTGAAAAATAATTTGGATTGGAGAGAGTATTAACAATGCAATATACTTCGTAATTGATAAAAATGCATTGATATTTAGGCAAAAAAATGCAATACAATTTCATTGATGAAAATGCAATACAATTTCATAATTATTTGTTTTTTTCATCGGAAAAAAAAATTATTGTTTAGGCAAAATAGTACAACATCGAGCATTGAAAGTGTAATTATTCAATTTGTCACATTAAACTCTCATAGTCTCATTTCATTTGAACTTACCTTATATGTACATATTTTTAGAAGGAAAAGAAAAACAAAGAACAAAAACCAAGCACAATTAACAACAAGAAAGAGATCACCCAATCCAAAGAATAACAAAAGTTTCTCCCAAGAAAAACCTAAGCACTTAGATTGGTCTTCCAAACTTCACTCTTGATTGAGATCTAGTTCTCATAAGATGTAATTGGTAATTCATTTTCATGTATATTTTTAATTATTTAGGGGGTGTTTGGAACTGATTCTTCTCCTGCTTCTTTTTTAAAAGCAGAAGCAGAATCAGAATCAATTTTCAAAAGCAGGTACCCCCAGCTTCTAAAAAAACTGATTCTGAGAGTAAATTAGAGCTCCAGAAGTGCTTCTGGAATTTCACCCAAACACTCCAGCTTCTGCTTCTGCTCCATGAAGGAGCAGAATCAGTTTTGAGAATCAGATCCAAACACCCAGGGGCGGACCCCGAAAGTTTATCTTGGGAGGGCGATAACTTAAAAAATATATTTTTTGGGAGGGCGAAAATTATTTTTTGGTATATATATACACTAAAAAAAATTGTTGGAGGGGTCACTGCCCCCCTGGGTCCCGGTCTGCCCCTGCAAACACCCCCTTACATTCTCTTTAGGCAATCAATTTTCTCTCATTACTAGCAAAGTTTTATAGTTTTTTATTTATTTGCTTCAGAATCCCATATATTCTTCCAACACCAAATTAGGAACCCTCTTCTCGTTCTTCAAGATATGATCCATAAATCAATCACCTGAGTATGAATTGAAAGGATTGCCATAAGCTCCCTAACACACAAAATCTTTAGAAAGATACTCTAAGCTATTATTTTATTCAGAATATCAGTAGCTTCCCCTTAATCAGTAGGTCTTATATTCAAATTATCTCGATTATACAAAAAAGAGATGAGGGTTATCCATTAGTCATAGTAATCCGAAAGAATTCTTTAAGAGAGTCAAATGCAGGAGTTTGCTCATAAGTGTTAATGCCACTAATCGTAGTCAACTCTGGTGAGTTATCAAAAGAATCAAAATGCTCAAAATCAGGGGCGGACCCAGGAAATCCGTCTTGGGGGTTCAAAATATTTTTTGGGGGGCGAAAATTATTTTTTGAGGGGCGAAAATTATTTTTCGTATATATATACCCTAAAAAAATTTTTGTTGGGGGGCGGTTACCCCTGGGTCTGTACTACGGTCCGCCCCTGCTCAATATCAACTTGAAGTAAGATTCCGGGAATGGAAAGTTATGTCTTCCCTATGTCCCAATCCAACCAATGAGTGACGAGTAGAAGACGCCCCTCGAAATCATCCAAACTAACAATGCTTAATAAAACCTCCCATGCGTGCACGCATATAGTTTGTCCGATTGCGTTGTTGTTGATTGGTATCTAGTTGTTTCATTAAAGGTATTTGCTTTTGTAATCATTTCCAGAAATTATTTTTTTTTACCTCGGAAGGCTTTCCAGAAATTATTAGTAGACAACTCATTATATTCCGTTCTCCAGATTTAAACAAGGAATATCATATAGACGAGTATTGAAGACTTAGTGTATTATTCGAGCGACTCATATTTACTACTCCCAAAAGTTTGGAATGAGTTCTTCAGAGTTCAAAATCAATCCGAAAAATAGGGATCACCTTAGTAAGAAAAATGTAAAAGACATAATTGTATAAGAGGTATTTGTATGGATTTATTATAAGCATATCCTGATCCCATAAAACAATATATAAGTGTTTTTAATGCATTTTGAGATTGCTTTAGGATTAGAATTAAGGCCGGCCGGTGGGTTTTAGGGGTAGTAGGATAGCCATGCACGCTACATACGGAGTATTTACTTCTAAATGATGTTCTTCCATTCAAGATTTAGGATCTTCCGAATGACCACATTATATATATCTTGCCATGGAGATGAGTTAATTAACTTCATCTTTAATAATTTGTAAGTTTTCGATAAGTGTCAAAACAAGGGTGGTTCGAAATCTCAAATGGAGTATCCTATTAAAAGAGTTAATGACAAATCATTGAGATGTCTTATAGAAAATTACCAGGTTAGCAATAATTCCTTTTTTACCTATTTGGTACAACTACCAATAATTTTATGTAATGATTTATTATTTTATATAAGAGTAATTCAAGATTTTATATAGTCATTTATTATTTTATTCCAATTTAGTATCAGAAAAATACTGAGCATAATAATTGTGATTAGTATGTCAAATAGCTAGCTGCCTAAAATTAGACTAATATTTGAAATATATCTATGAAATACTCCATAATAATGTAAATCAAGTAGATATAAAGTTACGTCTTCCCTTCATATAAATGCGAAAATGGTGTAATTCAAGATTTCATATGATGATTTATTATTTTATTACAATCTAATACTACGTATGTGACGAATATTTCAGCAATGACGGATTTAAATTTTGTTCATGGTGCTAAATAGCAATATAAAAGATTAACCATAAAAGGAGTAATTAGAGATTCTATATAATGATTTATTATTTTATTCCAATTTAATATGAGACAAATATTTGAGCAATAAGAAGATAGTAATTGTATTTACAGTTTCAAATAGTCACCCAAAATATGACTATTATTTTAAATGTAAATAAACTATGTAAATGGTTGCTTCGGTTTCCATATAAATTAATTGTGGAAAAAAAGATTTATTTTAAAACTAAAATTTAATTTATTTTAAAAACATAATTACTTGTGTTATACACTTATACTATCTCTTTCAAAATGAATTTACCATAATAATCCACCGAAGTAGCGTGGTTGGAAAACCGTGCGACGGACACTAGCGACCGCTGCATGTTCCTCATCAAACGAGGCATCAACATTCAACTTATAATCCATAAAAGTTGTGTTGTGTTCTTGGGAGCTGGTATTATTTGTGTTGAGAAGAGGCATAATTTGAAAATGTGGAGGTTACATAGATGGTTGACCTCACATGTAATAATTTGGAAACATTATAGGATAGTAAGGTGGGGGTTGGGATGAAGAAGTTTGTGGAACACCGGAAAAGGGATTAATTAGGAAATCGGATTGGCTTTGTTGAGGAAAAGTAGTTTGCCCCTGTAGGAGAAATATGTAAGGTATTTGTCGAGGGATTCAACAAGAAGGTTGACCATACCCAAACCATGGGTATGGGTTCATTTGTTTTGGACATCACTCCACTACATTATCCGTGACTTTATCAATGCAGTCTTGATCGGAGGAGACACAATGTGTAGAATTGAAAGACCCCATGCTCAATAGCTGTGGGACGAGCTTAGAGAGCCCAAGAGCATAAGCCTTCCCCAATTGGGTTGCACAGTTTTAAAAAAAAGTGCATTCTTATCAGCTATTAATGTACCCGGTCCTTGTGTCTGTTGGAACTCCTATACATGGCCGATCACAGTACAATGCAACATCTTTTCTAGCTTTTAAATTGTCTTTTGTCCTTTCTTTGTCGTTCATTATACAAATTGTCAAACACTTTTCTCAATGTGCATAACACTTTTTTCATTAGGATCCTCAACAACAGTTGGTATCATAGCTACAAGAGAAAATCGTTGAAGGCCTGACAATCTAGATGGAGGGCAACTAAGTTCTTCTTTTTCCTTTTTAAATGAAGGAATGTCCCTACGATATAGTGTTGTTGTGGTAGAATTTGTTTTATGACAATCAAAGTAAAAGGCTTAAGTTCACATTTAAGCCACATTGCTTTGTTTCCCTACATACAAATTAGGCATCCTAAAAGTCCTGTTGTGCTCCAACCACACAACATTCCATATGCGGGAAAGTCGCTAATTATCCACATTAAAATGGCATGCATTGAAAACACGAAATTGTCTACAATGTGATACGTTACTATACCCTCATCCCACAAATGTTACAGTTTATCGAGAAGCGGTTGCAGATATATATCTATTTTCTTTATCGGGCATAATTGTTTAGGAATCATGAGAGACAAAAACATGAAAGGATATTTCATGCATATACAGGGGCAAGTTGTACATCGTAAGAATAACAAGCCAATAGAAATACAATGTACCATATTGTCCATGGGCTGCAAAACCATCATAACATAAACCAAGATGGACATTTCGAAGCTCAACTGAAAATCCCAGATATGTATTATCAATGTGTTTCCATACTTCACAATCACAAGGATGACCCATTAGAGTTCGGATTGCCTCATGTGTTGCATGACACCTCATCGCTTCGGCTGTTTGATGTGATATGTACAACCTGTGCAATTTTGGTATTTAGGGCAAATATCTCAATACAGACACAACAGTCCATTTTCGTTTTTACGTTTTACATTGTTTTCACTCCGTAAGAAGAACAACACATTAACTCTTTATCACAATTTCAAAACAACATACACCCATTTGGACAAACATCAATATTTATCACAAGAACCCAACTTTGAAAAAGGTTTTTTGGTCTCATAGTAATTACGTGGGACCATGTGGTCACGAGGTAAGTATCGATCAAATAATTCCAACCACCTATTTACTTCATTCTAAGGTAAATTAAAAATTGATTTTATACTCATTACCTCAGTGGCGAACTGTAATTGAGAGCCTTCTAGACATCCTTCATATAAAAGTTGATATGCTGCTTGTAGAACATCGTGGAATTGGTACTCCAAATATGATACTTCATTTACATTTGGTGATCCATTATTGTAATTTGCATCTGTGGTTTCTAGAATATAGTTTGTGGTGGGTGGTTGTTGCACGTATCCTCCAAACATATATCCAACCACTCTTTGATCCCTGGGTATGTCATCATGACTTCCAGAAAGGGGAAAGGGCATGCTACACGATACGCGATTTCTTTGAGTGTAGTGATAAACGCAACGATTCATAAGATGTATTTGTTCATGTCGAAGTTAGTTTATAAATATGGCCGAGCATAGTATAACCATGGGCATTTTTGACAGAATAGTGATGGCTTGGGTAACAACCGAATGGCTTTGTAACGGGGCACAGACGACTCAGAGACGGAACTTGGCAACCCACTTTAGTGACAATAATTTTAATTGGTTGTCAATAATTCGTCGCTAATAGTGTCGGAAATTACCTACGGTTTTCTCCATCCTTATGCTTAGCTATTTCGGCATCCTTTTGTAGTGGTAGTAATTGCAACAAAAAATAAAAATAACACTCATATAATAGTAACAATAATGACCTATATTAGTTTAAGTTATAATTTTATTGGTATTAATTTAAATAATAATAAAAATAATTCTAGCAATACTACAATTTCTTAAGTGTACAATAATATTTGCCAAAAAAAGTATATTGTAATAGGGATATTTCCCTAAATAGGATTAAACAAGTTTTGGAATTTCAAAATAGGATTACTATATTTTTCTTCCCAAAATAGGACTCATTACTGTCATTGAAAAATAGTTCATTAATTGCCTTGTTAATGGATCATATTTTGAGGAGGGGTGGGGAGGGGATATATCAATCTTATTTTGGAATTTCAATAATATTAATAATAATAATAATAATAATATTAATAATAATAATAATAATAATAGTAATAATAATAATAATAATAATAATAATAATAATAATAATAATAATAATAATAATAATAATAATAATAATAATAATAATAATAATAATAATAATAATAATAATAATAATAATAATAATAATAATAATAATAATAATAATAATAATAATAATAATAATAATAATAATAATAATAATAATAATAATAATAATAATAATAATAATAATAATAATAATAATAATAATAATAATAATAATAATAATAATAATAATAATAATAATAATAATAATAATAATAATAAGCAGTACTCCATATCATATAGTGAATTTTTTTTGCGTAGTAAATTTGGAGCACAAATAAGTGTTTGAGAGGTAACACATTTAAAATCCTGATAAATTCTTATTCTTTTTATGCTTCTCTATTGAAGTATTTTCAATTTCCAAGAATGTGATTTACGAATTTTAGAAAGAAATTGTAAAAAAAAAACCTATGTAAAAGAAAGAGTCATATTATTATAATCGTGCATACCTAGTGACTAGTGTTTCTAATAAAATAAATAAAAAGCAATTTCTCCAATGTACTAGGAAAACATCCTGATTATAAAAAAAATATTAAATTGTGAATTAAAAAGCTACATAAAGGGCAACATTTAGGAAATTGGATTCAATTGGATTGAATAGTAATTATATTATGCTTAAGCATTACAAGAGTGAGCTCAATATGAAAATGAAAAAAATGTACACGAACAAAATTGAAAAAAATTAATTAAGTTGGTTTGGACTTCAGCCAAATTCTCCCGTGCATCTAGCTAGAGTTTTGTAAGATTCGGTTAAATTTGTTTAAATGTATTCTCGTGAAGTTTGATTTGGCACTAAATTACATGATAGTTTGGAGATAGGTAAAATTATGAATACATGTTTTCCTTAATTTCCAAAGTAAATGATTTTTTGTTCTATCACGTCACATATATATGCATTCTTGATTTCTTGTGTGAATACTGAAGTATATATCTGTAGCACCCAATCTTAATAGTTTCTAATAAAAAATGTTTAATTAGATTACTATTTTAAATCCATGCCGGCGAGGAAAGAAACTGCTAGTTCTTGATATAGACCACACTCTATCTGATCATACAACGTCAGAAGACCCCATGAGACCATGTACGTTTTCCTTTAATTTTGTGCTTAATTAATTAATGATTTACTTGAGGCTGTATCAGGGCCATTTATTATATATCAGGGAATCATAATATATAAAATTTACAGATCTACATGAATTTCTCTCGGTCACTTACGCAAAGTATGATATCATTATCTGGTCTGCATCCAGGTTAAATTCTAGACTTGGAATGAACTAATTTGATACACTTATCAACGTAATGTAACCAACTCAATTGAATTAGAAAAATGATTGTTGTAAACAAGTGTGTCAAATGTGTACACAAAAACGTGTACACCAAGCATGACTCATTGAATTAAATAAATGTCATATACACCCTCCATCCCTCTGAACCTTGTCAAGTTTAACTGACATGAGAAATAATAATGTAAAAATTGTGTGATTGAGGTTTATGCAGAGGAGAGAGAAATCATATGAACCGTAAATTCTTTGTTTAAAAGAAAAAGTGACAAAAAATTTTAGACAACCAAAAAAAGGAAAGATGACAATGATAAGGGACATAGAGAGTATAACATAATATATTTGAGCAAATTAGAACGATGTTAATGTACACAAGCCCAATTGACTAGCTAGCAGACTATTAAGTCATTTGTCATGTAACAATGTTAACAATGTGCACGATGGCATGAGAGAGATAGACACCGAAAAATAAGTCATTTACATTTCCCTTTCTTTCTTTTCTCTATTTTATATAATTTTGGTAACTTTTTCACAAGAGTGTCAACCACAATGTCGATATCAGACATCCGTGTTGACATTATGGATAATAACATACCAAAAACATATAAGACTTTTCAAATAAGGAGAGAGATATATTGTTCATTAATGTTTATGTGTCTATCTATCTTATGTCATATGTGCACCGTGCACATTGTAACATTTGATTAATAAATAAATGTACCGAATTAAAAGTGTCATCATCGCATATATAATCTTTTGTAACTAAACAGTGGACTTTTGTGTGGGATGCATTTCTCAATGTTCCCTTTCTTGAATTGATTGTAGAATGAAGAAGATTAAGTCCAAACTAGAACAACTTGGAGTTATTAATAGCCCCAATTATAATATAGTCACACTTCTTGATCGTAAGGCAATGTTGATGACTAGCAACATAATAAAAGATCGTGACAGTGGCAGGTCATTTACTACTTGCAAGCCCTTACATCTAATTTGGGCCAAATTTTCAGAGGTTCGTTATCAACTTATATTCTGTTAATTCAATACCTGCTCCGTGCAAGGAGAGAAATAAGAGTGATCTAAGTGCACAAACAATTTAAAATTTTATACAATGCGCACTCAAAACACATTTCAACTCTTCCCTCTATTGAAGAACATTTTGAATTGAATATCAAGCATTTTAAAGGAATGAGAGTTTTTATTTGACTTCCTGAATGACTCTTTATGTTTTTACTAAGAGTAAATACGAAGTACAAAGTATTATTTTAGAGTACATTGACACCGTGTGTGTGTTTGACATTGTCTCATACTAACTGCACAAGCAGTACTACTTTTCTTTTTATCCGTCTCATTAAGCTTGTTCTATACTTCCTCCTTTCTTCTTTAGTTGTAACATTCCTTTTTTCGCGTTTGCCGATGCACAACTTTGACCGTCATTATATTCAATTATCTGTTAGTAAAAAACGTTTAAAATCAGATTATGAAACTTTTGTAATGAGATGAATTTAAAGATATTTTTCAAAAAAATAATTCGCATGCATTAATAAATAAAATGTAGTCAAAGTAGAGTACATGAATAGTGTGTAAATTCCAATGTTGCAACTATTATGATACGGAGGATAGTATTAAATTTGGTAATTGTGTGGTTCTAAATTGTTTTTTTCTCTTGATTATATTTATCAATTTAATATCAACTATATAAAATAACTTATTACAACACCTCCTCGTGTACCAAATAAGGAATAGATATTTTATCTAGGGACGTCTAAAGTAGGAAAACATGATATTCTTTAACGGACAAAGGGATAATATCTATGCCTTTTTCAAAAGAAAATTACATCTGAATAATTAAATATATTGATAATTAAAGTCCTGGTTTGACAAAATTAATTAGAACGGTAGGCAGGGTATCTTGATTCACTTACAAGCACATTCGATCATTTCATATTTTATTTATTCATTTTCCCTTATAAATCATGTATGCTACAGTTTTACGACCCGAGAAACACTATAATGGTGGATGATATGGAGAAGAACTTTAAAATGAATCCACAGAATGGTCTGACCATAAAGGCATTCTGGAAGCACAACTATGCTAATGATGAGGAACTCTGTAAACTTGCCCAATATTTGCTTGCCATTTCTGAACATGATGACTTAAGTTCCCTCGATCACAAATGTTGGGAGAAATATTTAACGAAGGTTACACAAAAAGGAAATATTCCTCCATCTTATCCCAAGACCTGCCCCACATGTTTTTCTACTAATAATAATAAAATAGGCAGAATTTTGAAAAATTTCTATACAAAAGTTTTTCTATGTTTCCCTTGGTTTATTGTACATTTATGTCCTTGCATCGTTACAAAAGAGAGATAATGAAACTCCCTACATTTATGTTTCCCTTGGTTTTCCTATATGACTCCATTATTGATATTAAATAGAGTTACTATTACATGGCATCCCATGAAACTCCCTACATAGAGTTTCGAACTCCAGACATGTTATATCACTTATATGGGAAAATGAACCGCTTCTCTAATGAGAAGGTTTAGAGAAGAGTAGTATTGGAATAAAAATTGAAATTATGTGTGTCACAAATAATATGAGTGTATGACCGATGCACCAAATAAAAGTTTCTGCAATACAATTAACTCTAACAAAAAATGTACTATGTAGTTTATTATGTAATAACCTACCAATACCATCAAATTATACTTATTACAAAGGTTCTGTCTGCTTTCTTCTAGAGTGCATAAACAATGGTAGAGCTCGTCCTCCTCCAGAACCACCTCCGTACCATGAAGAATTTTGTGGGCTCCCAACCCGTCGCGAGGGCTGATGATTTCTGCAGAAAAGGGAGGATGTTGGAGCTTGTCTGTGGTGATCAAGATTCGACTTAATTTACACGTTTTTATTTATTTCGTTTGGTTGTTGGTTTCCAAGAACATGGTTGTTTCCGTTTCTGTTGTTTTTTGTTTGCGAACTCTTACATTAGGTGGGGATGATAAGGATTCTGCTTTAACTATGATAGGCTCATGTAGACCCGTTATAGGATCAGCGAATCATATTGCTCTGTCTAGGGTGATTGGTTCTCCGGCTGGTTCGAGGGTTGATGGCTGGGAGTGGTTTCTTTATCTTTGTTATGCCTCGCTGAATGTTCTTTTATCAATATAAGCCGCCTTTTTCCAAAAAAAAATATTATTACAAAGGTATTATAGTTCAATTATGTATTTCATTATTTAATATTTATCAATTTAATTATGTATAAATGTATAATATTTATGGACTTGCCATACTATAATTACAAAACCATCTGCACCACGTATGTAGTATTTATGATGACAAAACAATGCACCATGGAAAACAAATGTACCAGTCATATATCATTAGAAAATTAATAATCAAAGACTTTCTAATTAAAATAAAAGTTTAGGATCAATATTCAAATTAGAAATATTTTCTATATAACACAAAATCATAAATAAACCAAGAATTCAAAATGCTCTCTACTCAAAATAAATTGCTATTCAAATAACCTTAGAGAGCCTGAAGTGGACTTCTTGAGGCCGGAGACCTAAATGTCATACTTTCTCATTATATATTTGAAAGATGATGAGATAATGTATTGATTTATCAAATGAATGGCCGCTTTCATACAATTTTGTAATTGTGTTTAAGATATGTAACTTTAATTTCTGTGGAAGTTCTTTTTAATGGTATTGAGTTACAAATATTAACACTATTGGTGTGTCTGGTCGTAAGTTTATGGTCACATCCAATGCCGTTTGTGGAGGTATTGGCCTATGGGCTAAGATAGCCCATCTCCCACTTGTGTTTGGCCCAGCTGTGTTCGATCCTTTAGTTTTTGTCCAACCCAGTTGCCTAGCTCTTGCACCCATGTTGCTCGCTTCTGGAACCATCGCCTAGGGTTTTCATTAAAACCCCAGTATATAAGGCATATCCTTTGTCTTCTTCTGTGCGAGACCCTTCTGCGTTGTTTGGCCTAGAGTGAGAGAGAGTGAGAGGGGAGAGAGAGAGAGAGCTAGGGTTCTCTGAACCGCTGCTCCTCGTCGCTCCTCCGTGCGAACTCTTTTACTACTATGTTTCAATTCTTCTACTACTCTGTTTCTCCTATGTTACCCTTTTGGCGAGCATGGGTGGTGCTTTGTGTGATCGTTGAGTGTGGTCTGAGCCAGAGAAGTGAAAACCCAACACCGCTAATGTATCAAGCCCCCAAAACAATTCAAGAACCTTAAGAATTGCCTCAATATGTCTAACTCCCTACATTTTGAGTATTCATCACAATTCCATAATAATATAGTGGAAGATTTCAGTTTGAAGATAAAGAAATTCACTGTAGCTATTATTCAATCATGCCCACCATTTAAATATGATTCATGTATTTGTAAGCGCTAGTTGTTTTGTGTTGCTTGGGTCTTAGTGCGGGTGAAATAAGTTTTTAAGATGATGGTGTGCTAATAACTTTTGTTTGAGCGTTGCTTTAGTAACTTTTGAATGAATGAGTGTGTTAGTGACGCATGGATAGTCACCACAAAATTAAGTAAGGGTAGTAACTTAAGGTATGGGGGTGACATGTAGAATCTAAAGTGAAATGTAGTGGGGATTGTGTAGTCACTTATAGTGTAATATTTATTTGGAAATTATTTTTGAAATTTTTGTTTGATTGTTGGGTTATTCTATTTTTATTGAATGAGTGCTTGAGTGACAAATTGGCGGTTACCATAGAACTAGGGTAGTCATTGTAGTATGAGTGTAATATGTGAAATCTAATGTGAATTGTAGTTATGACTATGTAGTAGGACTGGGTCCGAAAAACCGAAAACCGAAAACCGAATCAAATCATACCGAACCGTAACCAAATAAAACCGAACCGCTAACAAACCGAAACCGAATGTAAAAAACCGAACCGAACCGTAGTTGTTTGGTTCGGTTTTGGTTTTTACTCTTCAAAACCGAACCGAACCGAACAAACCGAACTAATTAAAATATAAAATTTATTTGTCAATTGTTAAGCATTAATCCTAACTAATCCTAATATCATTAATAGTCTTTTGTTTTCTTGTGCCAGATAAATATTGTTTGTGTTATGTTTTGTTTAGTTTATAAATTCATTTACACATTCATTGTCCGTAATAATGTAGCTATACGGAATGACTATAATATGTTTTTACTAGTTATTAGTATTAATTAACTTATATTTTTTATTTAACTTAAAGAATTCATATTGATGAAACAATAAATATTCATCTCAACTATATCACACAGAACGTATATAACTATATACTCATGAACTTTTTTTTAACTAGTCACAAACAATGTAGATTAATAATATATACTTTTATCTCTCTCGCATACTCATATAATTCAAGACATATTTATTTATTTTCATTTTTATTTTATTTGTTGTAGTGTGCTTGCATTCTTTATGTAATACTATCGTACTATGTATATGTTTGATCCCAAAGTATTATAATAGTTTTAAATCAAATGATAATTTTTTGGAGAAAAACCGAAAAAACCGAAACCGAATCGAAACAAACCGAACCAATCAAACCGTGGTTCCAAGTTTTGAAGTGTAAAACCGAACCGAAACCGAACCGAACTTTTTACTTTGATTCTATATTTGGTTTTAGGTCAAAACCGAACCGCAAGAACCGAACCCACCCCTACTATGTAGTCACTTATACATGTATTCTTTCACGGGTAGTGAGTTTTAATAACTTTTGGTTGTTCGTTGGGTAGTAACTTTTGAGTTAATGAAAGTTTGAGTGATAAATAGACACTTAAATTACTGTACTAGTGGAGGTAGTAGTAACTAACGTACATGTGAGTGTAGTTTGTGAAATGTGAATTGAGTTTTATTCTGGAAATTTACTCATGTATATCGTATTATAGTTAATTAGTTACTTTATGCACGAGTTACTGGTTGTCACTTTAACATTATGTAACTGTTTTGACTTTTGAGCAGGCCTATTGTAAAATGCAGAAGTAGGCACACCTCCTTTGTGCAAAACCAGAACATCGGGGAAGCCGAAGAGAAAGAGCAACTCTTCTACTAGGGAAATTGAGACAAAATGGAAGTGCAGGAGGTGCATACAACATGGGCATAACCAGAAACCTTGTAATAATCCGATACCTTTATAGATGGTTGAGAGGCTTGTTTTTATGTTGTTTTTAAGTATTAAGGGGGTTGACAAATAAATAGTGCAGGAGTTGCATGTGATAAATACACATATGACGTCTGAATATGTTCTATAGATTATTTATGTGTTCACTTAGTTGCTATAAATTCGTGTACAACCTCAAATGAAATTCTAATTTGGATTCAAACCATTTAGTTTCGCCGTGTTGTAACAAAGACATGAATGTTATACTCATTATATGTGTGTGTGTAGTAGACTCATAATGGGTGGTGATATGGCTTATGAATACATCTATTCTCTAGTCTGTGATGATTCCTGAAACAATTGCAGGGTGATACATATAGTTATAGAACATAGAATGTGATAGAAGTTATGAAAATATTTGTGTTTGAGTGACTTTAATTTGCATCAGTTACTTGTTAAAAGAAAATGTTGTAGTGACTATACATATATGTACTTACTACTTAGTTATTATAAATAAGTACTTTAAATAGTTTAGGGTCATACCTCCAGATTATTAAAGAACTTCCAGTATACTCCGTAAGTTCGTAGTAATTCCACCCGAACCTTGTAGACTATATAGATACTTTTACGTAGTACGTTACTTTGTGTTACACCTTCATTAATCAATTCTCACAATATATTCATTATGCATGTTAGGTGCAGATTAACTGTTCACCTTTTATGATGGATAGCTTGATAAAAATTATTCTGAAGTTCAGGATTCAACTCATATAAATGACTCAAGGACTGTTGAATTATATGCCCATAATAAAGTATGGATATGTAACTTACTACGTCTTTATAAGTTGCATCTCTCATATTACAAGTGTGGGAGTTAATGTAAAGGTTTGTGTACTGAGACACAAACCTTTGGCTGAAATAGTTACAAGCAAAACAGTATACTTTAGAGTACAATATTTAAATGCATGGAAAAGTTGCTAGAAGAAGGAAATTTATGAGTATTATATTTAGGTGATTGTGTGCGGATGAGAGAATTTGATAGAAAGATGATTTGGGATAACTTGAAACTTATATTGATTGAAACTTTTGGCATGTGTTACAAATGGGTGAGGAGTGCTCTATTTATAGGTCTCATAGGAGTGCTCGCGGGCCCATAACAAAGTATTCAATACAAAATATTCATAAGCATAGTTTGTGGTTTAAAATCAATAATGGAAGCACGAATCATGTCTTCTTTGAGATCACTTCACAAGTGTACTGACCCCTCTGGGGCCCTCAGCATCTTCAGGTTTAAGCTAGGGCTTGCTACCTGCATCTTTGCATGGGTGAAGTGATCTCAAGGAAGACGTGGTTAGTGCTTCCTTTAGTGATTTTAAACCACAAACTATGCTCATGGATATTTTGTATCGAATACTTTGTTTCGGGCCTGCGAGTCACGTTTTGCCATATGTGGCCCATGATTGATTTATGAATATTTCCGCTATTCATTCAATTTAAAGGGTGATGTCGTTATATATGTTTATTTACTAAGTATGGTATGAACTATGTTTATGGACGTCTTGTACACTTGAGTGGATGTGACCCGCAGGTGATATCACTTAATTGCGCGGCGGTTGTACACGCGCCTAAATGCGGTCTGGACCGTGACACTATTTGATCTGAGTTGGAAGTCATGAGTTGTCTCTAACTATTTTACCCAACTTTATCTTTTATCAAATTTTTTCCTTGTTTTAAAGCTTTAATCAAATTTAAAGTGACTTTACATAATTCAATTTATTTTTTGTCTACTTTGAAAGATTTAAACCACTACACTATATGTTTTGTTTCACATATATTTATAAAGTACAACATTTACATTTTTGCACTTAATATAAATTGCTTTTTCGCGTATAATTGTGTGCATTCACAATTTACATTAATTCCAAATACATACATTATCCGTTCCTTATTGGATTAATTTATTCATTAACATAATTTAACAAAATTAAAACTTTGTGAAATTATTAACTATGATTTCATGTTTTTTGTTCTATGGATATTATTTTGTTTATAACTAATTTTAAATAATTTTTTGTCAAAGTGCTCAATTGTTTGTGACATTCGTGAATCGTGATAGGCATGAGTCACAATTTCATGTTTTTTGTTGTATGCATATTATGCTTTTATCTAGTGTGATTCCCCTCCCATTACAATTTTTGGATAGGCATGAGTCAATAAATTTGTTTTTTTTTCAACAATTTGATGATGGATTTCTTTATTTTTCATAACTTTTATTTGAAAGCCTTTTTTTTCATAACTAATGGCTAGAATAAATTCTTTCTCATCCCATACTAAAATAAAATACTACTCTCTCCGTCCCATTGGACTTTGCCAACTTTCCCTTTTTGATTGTCCCAAAAAATGTTGCCACTTTCTTATTAAAACAACTAATTTGTGGTTCTGCACATTTCTCTCTCCTGTGCACAAATTTCAACCACACAGTTTTTACTATTCTTATTTCTCACCTACTTTGCATTTGGCAACGTTACGGAGGGAATATCATATAAAATTGCTTCCCAAAAATCCAATGTAACTTCATAATTATATGTGAAACTTTAATATTAATATGGAGTACTACCTCCGTTCTTTTTTATTAGTCCTCTTAGGGTTTGACACGAGTTTTAATAATAAAGTAGTAGGGTACGTATAAAGTGTGTAGGGTAAATGATAAAGTAGGAAAGATGATATATTAAAAAGAGTAAAGTGATGATAAAGTAGGAAAGAGAGTGTATTAAGAAGAGTAAAGTGATGGTAAAGTAGGAAAGAGAAAGTAGTTTGTAAAAAATAAGTGGGGTAAAAGTAATAAAAGTAAGAGTATTTTCTCAAAAACTTTCCTTAAAGGGAAAGGAGGACTGGAGGACAAATAAAAAAAACGTCCCAAAAAGAAAAGAAAGACTAATAAAAAAGAACCATTTTTTATGGGATCCGGGACAAATAGTTGAAGATATGGAGTAGTTTTTTGGGAAAATGGGCAAAAACACCCTTGAAGTTGCCCACAAAGGAGATGTATGCCCACAAATTTTATTTTTGAGCAAAAATCTTTAAGAAACCAGAAAACGGAGCAAAAAGGCCACTTTAACTAACGGAGCATGCAGCCGTTTAAGATGCTCACTTTTATAATTATACGCCGTATAGATAACAAAGGGAAAAGGGGAATCATCTATACTCATTTATCTTTATTTGGACACTAGTATTCCAAACGCGCGTTGCGCGAGGTGATAGTGTCCAATGAGTTTTGCCCAATGAATAGATAGAATACCTAAAAATGTATCTAGTAATTATTTTGAAAGGGGAATGTTTTCCAATGTCCGAACCATATTGTGTCTACTAATTACTCCCTCCGTCCCAAAATTATTGTCCCGCTTTTCTTTTCGGTCCGTCGCGAAATAATTGTCTCGTTTCTTTACCTTCCTTATTTGGTAAACAAATCTATACCAAACAATGTCAAACAGTGCAAAACAGTGTCAAATAGTGTCGCTACAGTGCCAAACAGTGTCGCTAAAATGCCATTTTCTTAATCTGTGTGAAAAACCAAACGGGACAATAATTTTGGGACGGAGGGAGTATTATAGTAAGAAGACATATTTTTAAACAATTATCAATAATAACTTTACATATTAAATCGATAAGTATGCAGATATATTTCATCTATCAATCCAATTTATCTAAAATGATCATGTGTGCGCATCATTATGTACTACTTCCATTTCCTCTATATTAAGAGAGTATTTGTGATTGATTCTACTTTTAAAAAATGATATATTGAAGTGATTTTAGAGAAAATGCTTAATAGTAAAAATTGACAGTGTTTGAGAAAAAAGCTCTTTTGAAAAAATAAAAATTGATAGAATTTGATAAAAATGTTTTTTTGTATAATACCAAAAAAGGAAAACAATTCAAAACACTCATTCGCCTGCTTCCAACTTTTAGCTTTTAAGTGTTTAATCTTAATAGAAGCCATCAGTTAATGACTTGAATATACACATTTCAAAATACTCATTTCAACTCTTTTAAGCCAAAAGGAGAAAAGCATTTTCTCATGTTTTTGTTGACACTCCCTAAAACTTTGAATCAGAATTCAAAAATAGAATTAATGTGAAATACTATGTATCATGTTTGTTGATGTTTTATTTATTCAAAACCAAACATCTCATCGTATTAACTTCACAGGAAGTAAGATATAACTGCATTATGGAGTCGTTTTTGTGTTGGGTTCTCCTGCTTTATTTATAATTTCTGATATGTAGTAAACGTTGTTAGAGATATTTTCATTATATTGTGATCAATGTTTCTTAGCTCTTTGTATTTAGCTTATATAAATAAATAGACTAGCTAGAATAATGAATAGGCCTTTTAAGGCAATTTGTAATAAAGCCTTTCATACCTTTTTAGGTATAGGCCTCCTAGAAAAAGGAGCCCAAATGATTGTAAAACCTACCTTTCCCGTCAGGCTATATATATGCCTTAAGGGAAAGGCTAGGTTAAGCTTTTCAGATATTCTCATTCTCTGTGCCGCAGTGCCTATATCGGTGATAGAAGTTTTACGCTAGTTTTGTTCATCATTCTGTAAACTTCTTCATCATTCAATGGAAAGCTTCAAATCACAGATCTATCTTCCATACACATATATCTAGACTAGAAAACAGGGACCTAACATCTGGTATCAGAGCAGGAGCTGATCGATCGATTGAAGGCTGAAAAACGTTCTTGCGCGATTCTTCATCGTTGAAGTTTTTGCACTTGAGCGATCTTTGGGTCTGTTTTTGTTGTTATTTTTGCAGGAAATGGCTTGAAGGAAAGGGTTTCTAATGTTGCTGGGATCATTTCTGTGAAAAATCTTGATCTGAAAGTTGGCGTACAGGTCAGGCAGAAGTTGAGCGATCCTGATATTTCGCGCAACTAGCCAAAACGAAGAACAGGTTCGCGCAACTGCATTTCTGCGCAATTTCCAACTTCGCGCAACTCCTCTGCGCCATTTGGCACTTTGCTCAAATTCCCTTGCACGATCCAGCCCTTGAG